ATACTGCTCAGCTTCTCACTCTATTCTTGTTTTATTTAGGAAAATAATTGTAATTAGAGGGACTCCCAGCCTGTTTCTACAGATAGTGTGGAAGCCTTCAGCCATCTGGCACAGCAAGCTGCGCCCACACACAAGCACTGCCACAAGCAGTGAGCTTAGCCCATATGACACCCAACAAGGCTTTTACTTGTCTGTGCCCTGGTTTTCCCATTTCCAGAGATGGCTGAAGCTGGCTGAACAACCATAAGCAAATTGACAAAGTCAAATTCAGGTTTTAATTAAAAAATCTACAGTCTTCCGCTTTCATTATAAAGCATCTTTACAATCTTAAGTATAAAATCCTATTGTTCTTGTGTGTGATTGCCTCTTGTAAGTAATGTAGTTTTCTCAAAATGTGTTATTCATAAATCTTTATTTTTACAGCCCTATTTGATGGTGCCATTTCAAAATAATCAGCCAGTAGTTAAATTGCTTTAGACATCAAGAATGCACGCAAACATAAGAAATCCCTGTGTGGTTCTGCACAAGCAGAAGTCCATTGTCCATCACAGTTTCAAAGGAACCCCCACTGAGTGCAAGGAAATCACTAGCTCCTCTGTTTGAGATAAAGTATAGATTGTAAAGTGTGTATTACTGTTTAGAATTAGTATTGGTATTGGTATTGGTATTGGTATCGGTATTGGTATTGGTATTGGTATTAGCATTGGTATTGGTATTGGTATTAGCATCATGGGATTTTCATGAAAAAGCAAACATTGACCATTGACCATTCTGACAAACAAACGTGACCAGAAGGTTTATAGAAATATATCAAGATGTTCCACTGACTGTAAGAGCAGATTATATCAACAGTTTGTGTCCCATGAGATAAATCTGACAATGAAATATTGGATTTTAAATGGAGGCAGCTTTTCTGGAGGAGAAAGTTTGTTTTGCCCCTTCCTAGAGCAGCAGATGCTCCATGCTGTGGCAACAGAGGAGAGGTTATGCTGCTGCACACTCACATCCCACCACAGCTACACCCAGCTCTGCCTTAAAGTATTTATATTTTGGCATACCCATCTGTCAGGCAGTGTTTTTGTCAGGACAAGAACATTATCACTTCTTATGTGTAAAATATGCTCCCCAGTGGATCACACTGCCAGTTCATTTCTGTTAGGAGCAGGACTGCTGACGAGGGTACAGGGAAGAGCTGTGCTGCTGAAGTGGCAGGGTTTCTCAGCACTCAGGTCACATATTACGGAGTGTCCACCAGCGTTTGGTGCCACAGGGCACATCAGTGCTAGCGTCTGTGGGAGATACCCTAGCTAGTCTGCAGCTAGCGCTAACATGGGCGGGACAAGCCAGACAAATTGATCCTTGCCCTGTCACTTACCTTCAGTGCAAGGATGTGCTCATTGTAGCGCTGCCTGTGGACACTTGATTTATTGACACCTTGATTTCAGCTGCATTTGAGCTTTAGAAACAGATCTATGCTGAACTTGAGAGGCTGTAGACATATGGCACTTAAGCTTTGTGGAGTCATCAGCATCAAAGTGTAGCTGGGATAAAATATCACCAAACACAAAGTGTATTGTCCTCACAGCAGAGACTTGCTGAAAAACTAATTCATGTTTCTCCAATCCCATCTGCTGGGAGTAATCACCACAATCCACCTCGGAAGGACATATCTCCCCCAGCTTGTGTCTTCAGGTTCAGTTGGGTGGAAATGGCTGTGGAGCTGTGGCCATGCTCCGCTGAAATGTGCTCATACTGCTCCAGTGTGCAGTGGGAGCAAGGCCAGCTGTTTCACCAGCTTGGTTACCTCAAATAAATTAAAAAGTCACAGCGCTGCCAGCAAACACTGAGATCCATTTTAGTACAAACAGCTCTAATTCTGGAGGATGGCAGTGAATAGGAGAAATGCCCTAGACCTCTATTTTTCTGTGCAACCTTGGAGAGCTAAGAATAGTTTGGCCCCATGTATATTTAAGCACAGATTCTACCATTGAAAAGATCTTGAACTGCAGGGTTAGTAAATTATTGCATGAGAGTTGTGAAGTACACAAATAAAAGTCTGTTTCATATAAAGCCCAGTTGTGCAAATTCAACTCCAGGTTCAAGGGTCAAACCACAGTCTGGTTCTTTTATGCAGTATCAGCAAAAAAATATATATATATACAGTATTTTTTTCAAACTAAATTATGCCTCCATCATCACATACGTAATTTCACAGTCTTTAAGTTTTATAGCTTGAAGTTCTCTTCCTTTCGGAAGTACTCAGTGAAGTCTGAGAGGGAAAAGATTTTAGCACAAACAAAGAATTTTTCATATATCCCATCTGAAATAAACTTTATGAGGGGTATGTATGCATTATTCATCTTCTGTACTATCTGGAATTAATAACACATCCATTGCATCTGACACATTATCACCACAGAGCTGTTTACCTATACCACATTCAGGTGAAATAATGTACGGACACAGACTTGCTTGCTTGAGAACATGACACGAACTTTAAGGCTCAAATTATTGCAGGAATTTCTCCTCAAAGTTCCTCAGTTTCCCCCGGCAACACTGTCCTTTGTGCATAGAAGTGATTTGTGTCTTCATTTGCCCTGGTTTCATTTGAACACGTTTCTCTCACTGCCCAGACTAGGGGAAGAAGGAAAGTCTATAAATCAATTATGCCCTGACTAGCCCTGTTCTTGTCTCTTCCTTGCTTCATGATGGGGGGTTTTATTCTCTGACATTCTTAGTTCTCCAATTTTAACCGCTTCAGATTTCCTCAATACTGTCATACCAATTTTCTTTTTAAATAATATCTAGTTTAATATCTTCAAAAATGAAGATATGAAAATCACTATTGATTGCATAAATAAGCAATTTTAATGAAGCATAAAAACATGTCTCTTCAGCAACACTAACCTTGCATGGATTTACATACATCTCCTAGCTTCTTAGAGCAAAGAACCTGGCACAAAGTAGCTCTGTTATTGTGGAGTGGTATTTATAATGATAGCACCAGGTAAATAACTCAGGAATTCAAAGACAAAATTTATCCCTTAAGGTCATTACCTGGATTAATACAAGAAAAGTCCCCAAGAGAGTTTAGAAACTACGAGGCAAGGATTATATTAATCTATGAATTCAGTGGTTCTTTATGGGTCTGACAAATAAAATGCAGATAATAGTTTTCATTCAGTTATTGCTCTTAGTGTTATTAAGATGTTGGTAATGTATGTATGTCCATTACACATTTTATACAAGACATGATTATACCAACTATGGGGCAACAGTCAGTTATGCCCCACAACCAGCCTCTGCCCAGCCATGTGGCACAGTTTTATACACCAAAACATACATATACTAAGCCCGTTTTTGTGCAAGCCTAGCCCCTCTGTTTCTGTCACTTATACTCTCAAACCTAATTTTGCTCAAATTCACTTTGACATGCTTTCTGCTTTGGCTACACTGTGTTGACACACACTGAATAGCACTGTATATATAACACTGAATTGTTATATATACAATAGAACAGCTCTAAGAAGATGTATATGGCTACCTGAGGAGAGGTGGCAGCGTGGTGGCTAAGTCATTCTCCTGAGAAATGAGGCCTGTCAGTTCAAATTCTTGCTCTGAATCAGCGATGACATTTCACCTTGGGTGTTCTACCGCCTCCTTGCAGATCCTTAAACGAGTATTGCTGCTGACATTGTTTGGCTTTGTATAAAGCTTGTACCTATTCAATGGGAAAAGAACATAGTGCTTAAAAAAAATAAAGTACCAGTGTGTGAATGGGGAGACCTAGGTTCCTATTTCACCGCAGCAGACGAAACAGGATCCTCTGCAGACTCCTCAGTCTGTTGGTTAGAGCCTGCTTATAGATTCATTTTCTCTTAGTAGGAAATGGGGACAAACCGTGGGTTTCCACATCCTTCTGACAGCTGGGATTTGGGGGAACTCTGAGGGAAGTTGCTACCTGATTGCTTTTGGTGAGAAAAATGCCTAATTTTCCTATGCAGAAAGATACTAAAGTGAACCCTTGCATAGGTAGCTGTTGAATCCACACCATGCAGTGGTGCACCACATGGAGGTCTGTCACCCTCAAACAGGCACTGTCTCAGGCACCACCTCACCTCCACACAGCACAGTGGAAAGCAATGGGATAAATTAGTGCAACTTTGGTACAAAATGATACTTCAGAGAAAGCTCAGGAAGTAGTAACATAAAGATGCCATGAATAGACAGAAAGATAATTTGTAATTAATCACTTTCATCCAGGATGATATAAAGCGGTCTTAAAATCATTGAGAATTAGCCCAGCAAGTATAACTTCAGCACACACTGTCATGGTTACTTCAAAACTCTTTATATACCACACTCTAACAGGCTTAAAAGAGTTGAAACAACTTTTAACCAGAGGTGGGGGGGTGATGGGAAGAGGATTTACTTTTTAAATAAAGGATGCTATTTGTGGAAATAATACAGTTTTGATGAAGGGTTCAGAGTCAACTGTAACTGATACCTATGATTGATGTCCATAATAATCGCACACTTCTGTAATCCTTCCTCACCCATAACTGTTTTGAGCTTACATTTTGGATATTATTAACACTCAGACAAAAATAACTTGTGGACAATATCATGAAAGTACATGGTTGAGAATTAATCTATTTTTGTAGAACTGTTTAAGAATGATGGATACTTTTTCTTCCTTAAGTAAACACCAGCTAATTCTCTAGACCTCCCTTCTCTGCTCATGAAAAATCCAAGTCTGAATGATTTCATGGATTTGTAAAGGATGATAGCAAGATACAGTATACACAAAGCTGAATTTCTCCACCTGACAAACATTTGACGCCACTACATTGCTAACACTTCAGTACTGGAGTTTTGTTTGTTTTTGTTTTTGTTTTTTTAAATTTTTAAGAGAGAACACAAGAAATTTAGGAGCACTGAAAATTAAAAAATAAATAAATAAATAAAAATGAGGAGGCTGAAATGTACCAGTAGAAAGAGACTCCAAGTGAAAGTATCACGTTTATTTTTATTCTTGATAAGCAACAGGGCAGCTTGGAATAAACACCAATTGAAATTTTCTTCATCTCTTTAATGAGTTCAAAGAGGCTAAGCAAAGACACAGAAGAGTTGAACATTGCTGTGTACAACACAGTAAACAGATTAAAATTTTATACCTGAGCAAAAAAGGAATTTAACTATTAACTACAGCATGCAGAATAACTGATAAGTTATCACATAAACCTAGCATACTGTTATTAGGTTACACTCATTCAGATGTTCTAATTTTACAAAAGCTAAAGATGGAAAAAGCTCCAAGATGAGATGAGTGTGTGACATAAAACCACAATAAGGAAAAGCATATGACCATCAAGCAGCCTTTCCAGAGGATCAAAATTATCTGCTGTTTTATTATGCAGAGAGAAAGCAGCAAAAATTCAAAGCCTGCAGAGTTAATAACACGTTAGGCATTTAAACAGGTCTTGAAAATTAAAATATTGGCAGTTTATGAAGTGTTCACAGAAGACCTGAGCCTGCATCTCCTGCCTTCAAATGCCATTTTACAGCTTTGTGTTTATGAGCTCTTCCAAATGTGGAATGAAAGGTAGGGACCTGCAGGGAATGAGCCATCAGGTCACAGGCTTGCAGTTTTGTCACCAGAATAACTACAGCCGATTCTTAAGGTACGACTTTCTACCCCATTTGATCGGCCAAAGCCCACCTTTTCCTTTCTTCACACCAAAACTGGTATTTTTTCATTTTTGCTTTTTCTTTCCTCTAATCCATTTTGAATGCTTTCATTTGAAGTGCTTCAGTACAAGTCAAAAACAGTAACGCATTTCTCATCCTAATTCCGTTATTTTTGCAAAAGGTTCCTGTGGGAGAAAAGGGGTCTGAAAACCTTAATCTTTAACCAGCAGAGACCATTCTCCCCAGACAGATTTCATTTTCCCAACAGACTTCTATTCTCCCCAGTCTCCACATGCAATATACAAGTTGCCTGCTCCCATAGTATTTCTGTGCTAGAAATCAGCTGTATGTCTCCCTACAGCAAAAGCAACAAAATCTGCTTTTGTCATTTAGATTTGTCATGAAGAGATGGGAAGGATGGGAGTGTCTCTTAGTATGAGACAGCCATAAATGAAGTCTCTCCCTTTTATTTCCTCAGCTGTATAGTTACAGCCTTGTGGTGACAATCTAATCTTCCCTCAAATCACACCACCTGCCTTGACTTCCCTGCTACTCTTCTTTCACCATTTATGAGTAAAACTATGCATTAAAAATGCATGTGTCAAAATGGATTTGATTCCTTTGTCCACAACATATGCATATCTTCCTTAAAGTCAGAAATTTTAAACATTAGTAGGTTGTGTGAAAGAGTCTCCAGGGAACTGACTCCTCTTTGCTTCCAGTTTCTTCCTAGCTTTGAAAGCTGCTGATACTTCAGGGTGGATGGAGTCCAGCCGCTGCTCGCACTGAAAGGCTGTGAGGAAGGCCGTCCTGTAGTTGTTATTCATCCAGCCATAGAGAAGGGGGTTAGCAAATGTTGAGCACATGGCAATGACGTGAAACACCGTGTAGATCAGTTTGTACTCTTTCAGGTCTAGCACCTGACTGTCAATATCACTGACCAGCTGGAAGGTGTGAAAGGGCAGCCAGCTGACAGCAAACACCACAACCACGCACACCAGCATCTTGGTGGTTTTCTGCCGCCGCTGGTGGTAGTGGTCGTTCGCTGCCCCTGGACTAACGTGGTTCTTGAGCTTGGTCCAAATACGGGTGTAGGCGTAGGAGATGACCGCCAGAGGCAGCACGTACTGGATCAGAAGCATGGAGATGCTGTAGATGGTACCGTAGTTAAGCTGCCCCTCCCCTGGCCATTTCTCAGAGCAGACCACAATCTTGAAGTCAGGAATGATCTCAATCAGTGAGTATTCACGGAAGATGGCCAGAGGACTTGCCAACAGGGCACTGACAGCCCAGGCAACTCCTATGATCAAGAAGCTGATCCGCTTAGAGATTTTGCTTTCCAAGTGGTAGACGATGCAGCGATGCCGATCCAAAGCGATCACAGTCAACGTAACAGTTGACACGTGCACAGCAAGAGCCTGGGCATAAGGCACCAGGTGGCACAAGACTGGGCCCAGTTTCCATTCACCCAACAGTGTGTAAACTAAAGTGAAGGGCAGGCACAGTGTATTCACCAGCAGATCAGCCACAGCCAGGTTGGCAATGAAGAAGTTAGTCACTGTGCGCATGCTTTTGAACTTGATGATCACGTGGATCACAAGGGAGTTTCCGATCACCCCCAGCAGGATGATGGAACAGTAAGCAAAGATGAGGATTATCTGCACTTCGACTAGCGTCGTGCTGTCCTTCAGTTCTGGTTTTGGGTCGAGAGCCAGCTCGTTGAGTGGCGTGGTGTGTCTCGGCAAGTACAGCTTGGTGAACAGCTCCATTTTCATTTCATCTGTCTGGTTTTCTTCACCTATTGCTTCCAGGGGCCCCATCCTTGCAGCAGTCTGGTCTAAGCAATAGAGCTGTCCCTGAAAAACAAACCAATACAAGAACATGTGGAGAAATCAGCCTGTGGTGGTGAAGACCAGAAGTAATGAAGGGCTACAGCTACAGTAATGAAAAGCTACAGCTCTTTCCTCCTCTAACCCAGGTTCTACATCCCAGGATTAAGAGGAGATCTGTCTTAATATATTTAAATTCTGTTGCCCTTACATTTGAAGCCCGATCCTGTAATATTATTCAGGCATGACTCCTGCTGAAAATTGGGACAGATTTCAAAAGCATTTCAAAGACAAAGTTTGCCTCAGTAAATGCAGAAGGATTAAGATCCAGCTGGGCAGCATATCCTTTTTTTACAATCCACTACCTAAAACTATTGCTGATTTAGCACAAAACTTCCATTAATACCTATGGGAATTCTACATGGAACTGCACCATCCAGACTGTTATTAGCATAATTCCAGCTTTTCCTTACTGGAAAGTGTCCTTTAAATAGTTACCAAATTCTTATAGGTTTAGGCCCATCCTTAACGCCAGAGAACAGATTATTGATGTCTTTTTTAATGAAAATTTATTTTATGAAAGTTAGTGCCACAAGGCAAGCAAAAATACCCTTCTAGCAGATCTGAAATAGTAGCATCTCTCTGAAATGACTGTACAATGTATTCATGCTGAAATTTAACTCAAAACACAGCTAAGTCTTGGATACAAAAAATATTTTCTTTTTGTGTAATGTTTGAAAAAACACAGTTCCTTGGAGGCTGCCAATCATTTTTTGACTGCAGCCATAGAGAAGAGCAAATCATTCCCCTTCTGATGTCAGTAAGAATTTCACCACTGGCATCAAAATCACATTTTGTTGACTTCCCCACACAGGCTGAGCCAAATTCTGCTCAGCTAGCCTACGCTACCCTAAGAATTCACTAGGCATGGATGGATAAATGCATGCTTTACAGTTAATTTCTGACTTGGACTTCAATCCTATATAAAGTGTGCCTGTCCCCAGGTAGACTGTCCAAACCATGGATGGCGTCACAAGTGCCATGCACCTGTGGACTCCCTGGCTTGACCTGTGAAAGTACTAAGCAAGCATTTGTCAGCACAGTGGGCTCACAGAAAAAACACCGCCATTTGCCACTGGTGGGAAAGCCAACGCTGTTACTACTCTGTTTGCCCATTCATACATTCCGTAAGTAAAGCAACAGAGTAGAGAAGAAATGTCACTTACTTGACACCAGGTGTTGCACAGTTTAGTCCACCTTGAATTCAGGTCTGCCTAAAGAGACATTCAAGCTATTAACAACTGTGTTTTTGTATGTTGTTTGTTTGTTTGTTTTAATTTATTTATTATTATCATTATTTAAATCACATCCACATCACTGCAGATTTTCATTCCTACCTCTATCCCCACTGACATTTACTGGCAACATCGCTAGGTGTGATTTCCTAACAGAATTGCTGTACACGTGCACCTGCATCTTATGACTGGCTACTACATTATGCCTCAGAAACAAGCACCATCTGCCAGCAGGTGACCGAGCCCTTTGTGTTTTGCTTGCATACCACACAATATCCCAAAGAATTTCTCAGTGCAAGCCTTAGGTTCTTTCAAAAGGTGCAGCTCAACCACATGAACTGAAAGCTATTTTTCCCCCAGAATAAGCTGGTCATTATTATGCTATATTGTGTAGTCTACACTAAGTGTAAAAGTAATAGTGTAAGCCTGAGAGATACACTGTGAGACATAGCTGAGATAGTGTAAGACCGTGAGATACATAGCTGAGGTGTGCTAGGTGTTTGTAGAAGCTTACAGTGCAGTTTTTGGTAATGTAATCAGTTGTCACCTACTAGTCTAAGCAAGGGCGGCAAGGCAGGACTCCTAATCAATACACCTTCAGTCCACCAGGTAAAAAATGTAAAAGATACATGAAAATTTGCACCACCAAGGCTATGCAGATGTCCAGAACTCATCTGAGCTTTTCCCTTCAACCTGTGTGCCTATGCCCAAGAATTATGCTTGCATGTATTAGTAAAGTAGAGCTTTGGTGAGGTCCCAAGATTGTCAGGTACTCCAAGATCTCATAATGTTTTAATTGCAAAATAAAAGCAAGTCATAATTGCACATTACATGAGATGGGTAAGAGGGAAGGCAAATTTCATACATTTTCCCTTCTTTGCCATGAACCCAGGGAGGATGATGGAACTCAGCCAAAATAATAATAATAATAAAAGGTATAACAAAACAAAACAAAACAAAACAAAAAATAGTATCCCTTTCTTCCATAGCATCCCTTCCTTCCCGAAAATGTTTTTGCTTGTTTCTCTAGTCACAGGCATTCTCATGATTCCTACTTCCAACCCCTTATTTAGCAAAGCCCTCTTTTCTTCTGCCACTTTCATTCCATTTGTTACTATTTGGTCTGTTGACAAGCATTTTGGTCTTGTCAATAAAACAAAGCTGGGGGAGGGAGGAGGGACAGCCAGGATTTTGAGCCGAGATGCACTGGTGTGTCACTAAGGGATGCAATAAACTGGACAAGTTTGACATTGCCAGTGGGACAGTTGAGTGGGGGAAGAATCAGCTCCTTTGGTTGTGCAGGGGAAAACTGAGGTGGCGTTTGCTACCTGAGGAAGTGTTTGGCAGGACCCTTCCTGGTCTTTTTCGGTACAAGCTCTCCATCCGATGGCAGGGCATTTGCACCCCTATTGCACATTGCTGTTTGTTTGGGTGTTTTGTTTTGTTTTCCATTTTTCCCCCAGCCCTTCAGGGATGCGCATCAAATTGCACCCAACTTTCGGCAGAGGAAGGCCCGGGGCGGATCTCTTACGGTTCCTGCAGCAAAAGAAGAAGGGCGACCAACCCCCGAGACCACCTCGGCACGCACCCTGCCTCCCGCGGCCGCGGCGCCGCCACCGGGGGCGGCTCGGGAGCCGCTGGGGACTGCGGGGGGAGGCAGCAGAGACCCCGCACCCCTTCCTGTTCCCCTCCCCGGCCCTGCCCGGCACGGCACGGCACACTCACCGCGGCGTTTCTCTCCTGGCTGGCGCTGGGGCACGGCGGAAAGTTTGGAGGTGGCGGCGGCGGCGCCCCCCGGCATGTCGGGGGGCGGGACGGGGCGGGACGCGGCGGGGGAACGGGGACAGGCGGGGGGGGTGGGGGGGACAGGAGGGACGCGGCTCCGCCCCGCAAGGCTGAGGGAGGGGGGCTCCTTCCCCGGGAAGCAGCGGCCGGAGAGATGCCGGAGGGAGCGGGTGGAGGTTTGGGGGAAAAAAGGGGAGATTCTGGTCGGTGCCGGGTGCCGCTTCGCGGTGTTCCCGGAGCGCCTCCCGGAGAGGAACGTGAAGGGGATGCTCTCGCTGCAGGGAACTGCTGAAATCCTTGGCTGTGAGCGCCCCTGCTCGCGGAGATTTGCTGCTCCTCGTTAGAAGGGATGTGCCTAGTGCTAGAGCAGGTGTAAGGGTGAATAAAGCATCTACATATTCCATCAAGAGCGAAATGGAAAATTGCAGGTTTATTTACGAGGCTGCAAATGCAAAGGCAACAGCTGCTGTAGTAAAAAGTTCTGTGCCCAGTAACCTTCCAAAAAGCCCTTCTGTCAGCCTAGCTCCAGCCAGCACTATCTCTCTCCAGGGTGTAACTTACAAAATGAGAATCAAAGGAGTATCTTCTCAGTGCATGGCTGGAGGGCCTTATTCACCAAGCAGGACTTCAGCCCTAATGTCACTCCCAAGAACAGGAACCAGAAGGCTGTGCTTTCTCTGAGGCTACAGCTCCAGTGCTGGGACAAATCTTTCAAATCTTACAGAGGCTGCATTAATATTTCAGGTAGCTTCAAAGTTCAGCAGCATAAGCTTCCCTCTTCTGTCCTCCTTCCTAAGATGACCCTGAACTAGAACTCTTTCTTTGCTGAAGGTAATGGTCCTTACCTTGGTTGTAGCTCAGTATGATACTCTTATCAGAGCACAGAATGTAAGTAGAGTATCAAAGAGTAACTTCAGCAATTTAAAGTTGTTTTTGAAATTCAAAACATGTCTTAAGAACCCCCTTAGATCTTTGCTAATTCAGGCTACCTCTATGAAGGGCCTTGTTCTTCGTCCTTTGGCACTTCTGAGGCTGTTAATGGAATGCTCCGAGCTTCTTGCAAAATAGATTTCTTTGATGACTAAATAAAGAGCCAGGAATTTCAGTTCTCCTATCCCTGTTTATTTATTTTCCCAAATTAATTTCACTGTGGCATTTATTGTTTGGTGTAACATCAGACATGACTGCATGCCATGAGTTTTAGTACAGCACTGTTATAATGCATGGCTGTTACTGCAGTTCTTGACTTTCCTTCTCTTGCAAACAGTGTGTGCTGGTGTTTACTCATCTTAGGGGTGTAGCTATTGTGCTTTATGCCACACACTCTTTCTAAATTAAGATGTGTTTTTGCTTCTCCCAACATCTTGAAGAATATAGCAATGCTACAGATCTTTACAATCTGTATAGCTCAAATCACCTCAGCATCCCATAGCTAAGGAAAAGCTGTTCCTTTCTTTTACTTCCAAGCTCCTGGAGAAAAATCAAGAAGTTGTGCAGGCTCCTAGAAGCTGTTAAGCTGGCAAAGGTCACAACCCTCTCCAGGCAAGGCAGCACATCCCACAATTTGACAATCTTCACTGTAAGATAAAATTTCATTGTGTCAAATCAGAGTTTCCTCTGTTCCAAACGCCTCTTGTCCTAGCCCTGTGCTCCTGCTGGTGTCTGCAAACAGTAGTTAGATCTCCCTTTAGCCTTATCCTCCTTAAGGTTGAACAAACACAGTTCCCGCAGCCTCTTTGAAGGCAGTGTGGTCCAGCCCCTGTTCATCTCGGTGGTCTTTCCTTGGGCTCACTCCCATCTGTCAAGGTCTTTCTTGCAGCGAGGAAAACAGAGACAGTACTATAGAGGTGGTTTCACACCTTCTGAATGGGGGGGGGAATAGTCACTTCTCTCAACCTGCTGGCTACACTTTTGCTATGTCCTGATATAGACCGTAAGCTAGACTATGTCAGTTGTCTTGTATTAAATAAATGAGCTACCCAAACTTTAAATCTCAGCTTCCTGTTTAAGGCAAGCCTACAAAATGAGATTTTTCTGTGAATATGTATATGTACCAATGTGAAATACAGGCTGTATAGCTGAAGAGCTTGAAAAAAATATCTGTTGGACATATGTTGTTTCTGCTGGAAATCACACTTAAGGAAGAACTGCAGGATGTAAGAAATTTGATATGCGTAGCTTTCCTCCAGCAGTAGCTGTTTAACCATCTTTACAGTTAGAAAGTGGTCTTGCCAAATTCTATCCAACATAGGGTTTCTCCGAAGCAATAATAAGCATTCCTGCCACCACCTCAAAAGTTTACCACTTCTCAGAAGCAAAACAAACAGATAAAAAGTTCTGCTCGTAGTACCCAGACTTGAAGCAGTAACACCTTTTGTTTCATAGGCACATATTCATAGTAATAGAACAAAAAAAGTCTTTGTCCATAAATTGTCCAACATCAGATTTGCCAGAGTGGAGAATAATATTTGATGGACATCATCAAGGCAGGAAAGTCAGAATCTCACTCCTCCCTTGTGCCCAGACAGTGTTCTCCTTATTTAATTGTGGTAAGGAGTGAATTTAAAAGAAACCACTTTCCCTTGAGCACTGACCTTTAAAGTAGTATTGTGCTGCATGCCACTTACTTGAGCCAAACTCTGCCAATCCTTAATCACACAGATATTCCTGGAGTGAGTCAGGTTTTATAGCATGCAGCATTCTACCTAACACTGACAGTGGCTTAAAATGACTTAAATGAAAAGACAAATAATAATACCTGAAAATGTGACCTCAAGAGAGAAAATCTGTCTCAAATTTTTTATGTGGTGCCAACACCAAGATTATGGAGTATAAAATTATTCAGGACCAAATTTAAAAGGCCTGAACAGAAGTGTTTAAGTAGCTAAAGAATGACGTTTCTAGTTACATAGATCTGTGAACACTTTAGAGTAAATTTATAAAATGTCCTTTGTTCTCATTCTCTTTTGGTTTAGATTCAGCCTCCCAGGTTCAATTCAATCTCTCTCTCTTTTTCAAATGCAGTAATAAGAAAAAGCTGTATGCATAAACAATAGCAATCAATCTACCTTAGGCAAATAAGGAGATAAATACAAGACAGTGGGGAACAGGAGAAATTGATAGATATGTGAAGTATCAGCTTCAAGTTGCTAACAGCAGTACTTCACAGCCACTGCTTGTTAAACGATCAGTTTAGTGCATCTGGTTCAAAAACTAATACCACTGAGGGCTCAATTCAATTGCCTGTTTGTCACAGGCTGTGATTGAATCCAGCACCATCACCACATAAGACAGCACTGCAGAGCTGAATGTTTTGTTTTAAACATTGTCTTCTCAAGGCATCTAACATGTTGCCATAAAGTTGTTCCATGCAAAGAAAGTTAAAACTGTAAAGTACAGTAACTCACTTAGGAAGTGACAGATTTAAAGAGGCCCATTTAATATCAATACAGTCATTTTTGTTTATATAACTATGATACAGTCTTTAAGTAACTGGTCACATATTTTTTCTTTGTCACTGCTTTATTCAGAGCCCCAAATTAGCAATATTTATGCAATGAGTAAATTAGTGGTTTTCCTTTTATTTATTTTTTTTAGTATATATTTTGCAGTTTCATTAATTTTTCTTTACCAATATGCTATGTTTTCTCTGCAAAGAATATAAAGATTGCCATTTCTTTACAGGATTTTCAATAGTGTTTTCATCACTAGACCTTGAAAAAAAATACTCAACTAAAACATTTAATTGTATTTAAAAAAATATGGGGAATAAACATTAATTCCTTTTTTTTTTTTTTTTTTTTTTTTTTGACACATAAAGATTTCTGCAAACCCCAAAATGTAATGTGGAAGGTGATGCTTCAATAAGCTATTAAAAGTTCGGTATAAAGCCAGTTGTTGCAATTACTAAAGACTTTTTAGATGTTCCTGAGGCAAACCTAGTCTGTTTATTTTTAGAACATTCTTCATAGAAAATAGATTCTCACTTATAGCTTAAAGCTTGAATATCGTACACACTCCAGTCCTCAATTTCCGGTAGCTGGGAAAGCAGTATCTCTCTAAATGGTTTCCAAAAGTGAGTCAATTACATCTACTTGCTGTATGCTTGCTTGAACGTTGTTTATTTCTAATTCTGGAAATCCTTGTCTGTTACAAGCAACAATGCCACTCACCCTTTGCTTTGCCTAAAATGATTCCTGTAGCAATTTCAAAAAGTTATGTCGGTTCATAAAGCTTAATCATATGGTCATAATGCTTATTTTCCAGTATCCTGATGAAGTTCATTGAAGTGCTGCATGAATTGTCTTTGGAACAAAAACAATTAAGCTGAAAAGACAAATATCTTTGTTTTTTACATCCCCTCTCCCGCACCCTTCCAAATTACATTTCTTAGAATGTAGAAACACTTATATAGTTTACAAGATGTGCCATGTAAAGCACATCATGTTCATTGTGAGGTTAAATAGTTAAATATAAGATGTGATTAAAACAGCTTCTAGTAGTTTATGGAACCGTGTCATTTAACATAAGGAAACATTTTTTCACTCACAGTTCATGGGATAGTGACACAATAGTGAAAAGCCAAGTTAGTATCTTTCCCTCTGTTGAAAGTGAATTAGTATGTTTTCAGCAAATTATTTCAGTTCATTTTTTCATGTTTACAAAGAAATTTCAAGCTGTGCTAAGCCACATCACTGTCTTCATCCAGGGTTATTTTGTACCTCTGTATGGCATTTTATGGAATAATGCAATTTGATAGCAACATATGACATTAAATTCATGGATTTCATTTGTGAGCATTTTTTGTTCTTGAAAAATTAGTTTGATTACTAGAGAAATGAAAAAGGAACACTTTCCATACCTATTATCACTTCGCTTCATTTTGAAATGAAGTATTTACTGCCTTCTTTTGTGCACTCTGTCACAGTTTTAGAACTTCTAAAGGACATCTGTTCTAGGCTAAATGCAACAAACCTGCACAGTCCTGTTCTCCAACGATAATCATATGACTCAGACACTAGCATCCAGAAATGTTTAACAGTGTCAGCTGCTCCATCTTCTCCCTTGCTGATACACTGACAGGATACATTCCATTACAGTCACCACATCTACAAGTATCATGAAACTTTATGGTCCTATTTTTGACTGACACCACTGTACGTGAATCAATTAAGCTTGTCAGCCTAGCTTCACAGAGTTGAGAGAGAACTCTAATACTTTCATAAAGAGTCTTGCTTCCCACTCAGATTTGAACTGGCAGTTTTCTAAATGAACCCTTTGTTTTCCTTTGTTAATTGCCCATGATTCACATCCACATTTTGCAGAGATTGATGGCATTTTAATTGCTAAGGGTATTTAAGGATTGAGGATAGGAAGAGGCTTGGGGAAAAGTGGGTAGGGGGCTGGTATGTTTGGAAGGCTAACTGTTCTGTGGTTGCACACAGCCAGGAGATCAGCAGCCAGAGCACCATCTGTGCACGTAGCTTATGTGTATGACCCAGCTTCCTCACAAAGGAATGTGTCAGCTTCTGCTTTTCCAGATCAATTGAAAGCCTCCTTCATGCTCCAGTGAAATTCTGTGACTGTTCCATGAAGTCAGATCTAATCTCCTTGCCCGGCACGCCCAATGGATACAGGTTTCCTTCAGCAAGAAGCTCTTCCTGCAGTGCTGCTTCCACACATTGGAGCTGGGAAGGTTCAGCAGCTCTTCAGCGTCACCTCACCACCCTGTGAGTTGTGGAAGAATCATCTCAGCATCCTGGAGAACGGTAAGAGATATACGATCTCTCATGGAGATGTCAAAGCATCTCAAGAGGCTGTGTGCAGTTGTCTATGGTGGAGGTGTTTGCATCTGAGATAGTTATCCTCAACTTCCATGTAGATGATGGCAGGCTTAGATAGATCTGCCATTACACAAAGTTAATGCCACATGTTCTTGTCAACAGGTAGCTGTGTGGAGACTCATAAAAAGCAGATTTCTCTACAGATTATATAGCAGAGTTGTCTACTAAAGACCACTCTGCTTCTGTGGATCTCCACACATCCTGTCTCACCCTGGCTTTTCTGTTATTTCTGTTATGTACAGAAATTTTCATTTGTGTCTCTCACCAATTCATTCCCCTTTATTCCAAAAGCTTTCTGTGATCCTAGTTGCCCTCCAGCCTTGATTCCTATCAGTCAGGACACTCCCATCCATTTCCATCTTCTTTCATTCCTGTCACCTTCTTCCAAACTTAATCTTACCCACAGCTTCTGTACTTGCTTCTGTGTCTGCTATTGATCTCCCCTCCTGGGGATATCAGACGCACTCTTCTCTCTTCTAATAGCACAATTTGTTCACCATCAGAAAACAAGAAAATTGTGTTAGTGTCTCTGTGTGAGAGGGAGGGGGAGCTTCTTTATCTTCCTCTTTATCTATGGTCCAATATAAAATTTAAGAGTGAAATTTGGCACATTGCTTCTTTACCACCTCATTTCTCTCCTCAGCAAGGATGAATCGCCACATAGTTTTGCATGTTTTTAGCATTATAGTCCAGTTCTTTATAGTGCAAATGTATCTGGCCTACTTAGTGGAAAAGTAGTGAATGTCATTAATAGGAATAAAGATGAACTCTTGAGTAATTTCTGTTAGATTTTCTACCACCTTGTGGCATTTCAAAGAAAATTTACTTTATGAAAAAGTCAATTGTTTAACTGATTTGACTTGTCAGAGTCAAAAGGAAGAGGCATTGAAGAAAATAGCTTTATTTTTTCTCCAAGCAGTCCAGGACATTTTATCTTATACTCTGTAGTTAAATGTCAGTTATGACCATTACAACCTAACCTACAAGCAGTTTTCTGAAGCAGTCTGAGGAAATTAGCTTTCCCTTAAACGTAATGGGAATTGGGTATCTGTCTTCTCAGCCACTACTGAAAATCCTAACCTCAAAGTTTTAAATTATTTGTACTCTGGCAGAGGCTTGTACTTGATAGTTTCTCGGGTAAGTATTATTTCTGACTGTTCAGCAGCAGAACAGAACAGACATTCCTGTGTCAAGGAAGAAGACAAAAAAAAATAAAAATAAATCAGTAAGTTCTGTATATCAAGCGGTTGCTTCTCCCTAGAATGGATTTGCTCCAATAGCTTACATCATTCCCTCAGATCTTACAAGTACAAGTCAAACTATGAAATATGCAGAGCATAGTACAGAAAAGTATTGCCGAGTAAAAAATAAGCACAAATCTTCCTGACCTCTGCACAAGTCCAAGTATAAGTAGGAGCTGCTGCTGGGAACTTCTGTGATATATTTTCAGGCCAGCTTTTGGTTGCATAGTGTAAAATTAAAGAAAAAAAATAGCAGTGCAAAGAGATTTAGCTTTTGCTTGCAAACAATTTTCTTGTTCTTTTAGAGTCATCTGGCATTATGAATACCTTATGCCTGGAGGCATATGACCTACAGCTTGTTCCTTGAAATGTTAAGGGCTGCTAAGCAAGCCTTGGCTCCCAAGAAGAACATGGGGTTGAAAGGTGTTCTTGTATTCCCATTGAAAACAGAAGTATAATTCACACCAGGTTTGGACAGGGCAGAACAGGATTTTTAGGCAGCGGTACCTGCTGGTATAGAAATTCCAGTCAGGAATTGTTTCCATGCTCTTATATTTCTTTGAAAGTAGGCCCTAAGAAAGCAGTGTCTTCCACTGAGCAATACCTTGGTTAATGTGAATTGAGGAGATATTTCCACCTTGCAGAAAAGAAGGTAGAAAAGATCATCAGTTAGGTAACCCTTGTAGAAAAGGTCATCAGTTAGGTAACACTGATGGTGGGCTTGTTTTCTTGGAGTAACCCATTTATGAAATGGCCATACAGTGTGATTTTGTGAAGAGAGATAACTAGGACCTGCACAATGCTAATTTTATTTTAAAGAAATCTCCACTTAGGAATGGGTGCCTCCAGGAGCTTCCACCCTGGAGCCTATTTCTCTTAGAAATTCCAACACCTTCTAGCTTAAACATACACTTCTGTGTCTTCCCTCTACCATTCCCTCTATTTCCTGTGAAAACATTTCATTTTGGAAGCAGCCTTATGTATCAAATATTGTTTCTGCAGATGTATTTTGCAATACAGGGCAACAAGTCAATGAATTTGAAGACAAAAAGTGCTCCACCACACTCAAACAAACAACTCTTTTGGCAGGATAAGCCCATGGTTTAATCCATTGCAACAGCAGTGACTCATAACATCCACAATGCATCACCTCTTACCTTATTATTAAGTACAATAGGCTTGTGCCTCTTGAGCATATTTAAATCCTATATCAACATTTATTTGGAGGTGTCCAAATTAGTTTATTAAGAAAATCTACAATAGTTTTACTATTGCAATATTACAATAAAGTACTAACATACACTAGAGGAAAAATATTCCCCTTGTTAGTTATGCTTCCTTGTGAATGTTTACAAAGCATAGTAGAAAGAATAGGTCAAGCTTATAGATAAGAAAAACATGTCTTTAATATAGATAACACAGGTCTGTGATGTTTTTCTGGTAAACTCAGTAGAACAATGCAGTAATGCTACATTGCACATTTATAAATATGATTGCAGGGATATAGTGTGCTGTATCAACAAACATTATTCTGTAATAATTCCCATGTCAAATATAATTAATAATTTATGTATATAAATGCAAGAAGAATTTGCATTGTACCTTTCTGTGGAAAATATCCATTTATACTGCAGAGGGTCCATATTAACAACCACTGATATATCATGAATAAATATAATAGATAATACCAAGCTTAATGAAAGGGAGAAAACAGGCATAAACTTAAAAATCAGGTTTGGGGGATCTTTCCATATGTCAGGCTTTATTTTATTACTATTTTTTTCATCTTATGTGAGCTGACACCACAAATTTCTGATGCTGTACAAATAGAATTGCTAGTCCTATAGTGGGGGCTATAAATTTGTTCCAGATTTGATCCAGATTTTCCAAAGAAGTTTATACATGTGTTATACTTTGGAAATTTTAAAGACAGTCATGCAAGAAAGGCCAATTTAAAACAAGGGCTTGGATCCTGCTGCTCACCTTTGTTTTAAGGAAACAGGACTTTAATTTGGTGTTGAGCACTACTTCAGCACAAGTTCCACAATTTAAAAACATGTTAGGGAAACATGTCAAGATCCAGAGTCACCTTCATGTCTGACAACAGCCTTGCTGTCTGCTTTCCATCGGTAGCTTCACCTCCTGCAGAAAACTGGTCAAAAAGAGTCTTGGGGTTAAACTAAATATACGAGGGAGTTTCCATGCTGGGAAGGCTTTTACAGGCACTGTATTTTGTTTTTGTCTATCCAGAATAGATATATTTCAATTTATTGCAGACTTCTTAACATCCCCTCACTTGGGCTGTTTTGATCTAAGCTTCTTCACCCTAGATAGATTTGCTAAGTATTAAGTCTATATAGAAAGATCCATCCCTCTCAGGTTCCTGTTGCTCAGAAGCAGCTTCTAGCTGCCAACACTTGGATTAGCACAGAATCACCCAAAGAGGATTTTCTACCATTTCCACACACAAGTGGTGGGCTTCACTGGGCTTACTAATGCCTGTAAAGGGAAATCCTGCCTCACTAGCTTTTGGAAGTTATACAGGGTATCCATATATCTGTGGTACATTTTACTTGGGTTTTCAACAAGCCATTGACGAGGTTCCTGACAGAATACTACTGAAGAAAATAAGTTGCCATGAGACTGATGCTTGGGTGAACTGAAAGCTGCCTGCAGGTAGAAAGCAAAGGGATTAATTGTTGCTATCCAGGATGAAGAAGAATTAGTAACAGCACCTCTTAGGGAATGAGTATTATTTAAGATCTTCATCAATTACCTGCACAAGGAAATGTTGAAGAAATATCTCAAAGTTTGCAGATACAACTGTACTGCTTCAGGGAGTCAAATGACACACACGTGGCAAGGAGCCCTAGAAAGGCAATACAGTGCTGAGTGGGTGTGGCAAAAACTGGTGGATGAATTTCTGCATAGATATATCATGCACATAGAGAGAATAATCTAAACCTTACTTACCCAGTGCTGAGCTGCAAACTGGCAGCTGCAGCTCAGGATGGAGAGAATGGGCATTGCTGCTGGCAGCTCTCTGAATTCATCTGTTTCAAATGCAGCAGCAGCTAGAAAGAGGAACAAAGTTTTGGGTACTCTCAGAACAGATGCTAAGAGCAAAATAGAAAACAAAATCTTGGTGCATTCACATCCTGAACACTGTGTGTTTCCACATTTTATAAAGGACATAGAGAAATCTGAGAAGATGCAGAGAAAGACAAGAAAGATTATTAAAGGGATGGAGCTGCAAAACCGAAACACCTGTGACTTTCATGATCTTATCCCACTCCCACAACCAAAGGCTTGAGGGTCAAGGCTTACAAAACCGTGAAGGCAGTGAGTAAAGCAATACAGAATTGTTATTTGCCAAGTTCTATGGTATCTTATGGGTACTTACTGAAAGTAGTTGGAGAGAAGTTTAAAATCTGTGAAGGAAGATACTTGTTTTATACCACAGATATACCTACCCTACCTTCTGGAATTTGCTGCTACAGGAGGCTGTGGAAACCCATAGTGTCAACAAGCTGAAAAAAAGGTGAAGCAGACAAACTCCAGGGCAGCAGGTCCATAAAAAGATACTGAAAGGCACAGGCAGGAATGTGCTCGCTGCCATCCTCATCAGGGTTGTGGGTGCTGGAGGGGTACCAGGAGGAGGACTGCAGAGGGGCAGGGATCACAAATTTTCTGGGAGCAGCATTTCGTATTGCCACTGTTGGAGGTGAAACGGATGATTAGTTTGACCCAGAAGGCCATTTTCTCTGTTGTCATGAAAATAAGACCCTGCACTCCTTTGGTAGAGCTTAAAGCTGCCACTTCAGAGTTATTTCCACCCATTTAATTTTGATTGCATCTCAGTAGGCAGTAAATGATGTGGGATATTTCTCAACTGAAAGAACTATGTGGTAATTATCAATGGCAGGATTTTGTGTGTCTGTGCTTTTTTGGCTGTGTCAGGAAAGGAGTTGAAGAAACAACTTTAAATAGATTTGGATCATCAGTATAAATCTATAGAACTTTAAAATGATATAAATCTATTCAAATAAGAGAAATATGCTGAGCTAAGAGAATGAGTTACAAACAAGCAGGCGCATAACACAAATTTTATTTTTAATGAGTGTATTTTTTTAGGACCACATTCTGTTACTCTCATTAAAATTTCTGGATCAGAGTCCAATTTATACAGCTGGATTTTGCTCCCAGGTGTTCTGATGGCATGACTGTTGTACTTTGCATAATGAGCAAATCATTGTTTTCAATAATGAGGAGTTGCTCTAATAACGGTTTGAGGCCTAAATCGTTTTTAAAAGGACCATAAGGCCAAGAGGCTGTAAAACCCCCTGGCCACGTGGTGCCAGCTCTGGGGCCATCAGGAGCTCTTCAAGCTTCTTGGAGCTGCTCCCACTGAGCCATTCATCTCAGCAGCAATTCTCTTTCATCTTGAGGATTTCGTAGGAACTTAATGTGGTAGCTTCTCCTCACCTACCCCTTTCTGTCATACTTAGTTTTCTTTCACTGCCCATCTAGCTCTAAATACCCTGCACGGCAGAATGCCTCTTTGCTTTTCTCTATTTCTCCTTGCTCCTTCTCCCAGTTCAGAGAAACAGCAGAAAAAAATGATGAGCTTTCCATCACCCCTCAACCAGAAGGTGATTTTCTGTTGCAGAAAATACTGAAGAAAATATTTGTGTTACGTATAGCTAGCTATTTTTTCAAAAATTGTTCTGAGGCATGCTTATGTCTACTTATTTATATTCATCAGGTATCACGTCCCAAGACAATTAGTTGTGGGTTGCAGTTTTGATATACATTTGCTGTGTCACAATGCAGAGAGAAGAATGCCATATCATGTCATCTGTAAATGTGCTTTATTTGAGTGAAAGTTTGAAGCATGATGTTTAGTGTATTTTGTTGTTGTTGATGTTGTTTTGTTTTTGTTTTCTTTTCCTTTTTTCCTGAAGAGTAAGAGAGCAAATAGCTAATAATGGGGAAAAAAAAAAAAAAAAGTCTCTCACAGACTAGTTATGTGTGAAAAGATGCCATTTGAATTAATGGCTGGCAATTTGCTCTGCATATAATTTACAGTTTCTGTGTCCCTATATATAACAGCAATAGTAAAAACCAACATCAGTTATGCTCTTACTGCTTTAAAATTTCGTTTGCTGCTGCTTGCATTAGCCTTAACTTAGTTTGGTCTATTATTGCCACAGAGAAAAAAAAAAAAGTCGTGCTATAATTAAGGGTGGGAATTTGTCTATGTTTAAAGGTGCTCTAAAATCCATTGTTTATTTCAAATACAGTGAAATTTGGTGGGTGTATAGAGAGTGTATGAAGATGTAGTTGCATTGCAATCTGGGATAATATAAACGGGAGATTGTTGAGGAACAGTGCCTCAAGGCAGAAACTTTTCATTTTCATGTTTGACAGGTTCTTATAACACATTGCTGACATTGTCCCTAGACAATCAAATCGTAATTCTGATCATGTCTGATTGATCTCAGTGGCTTGACATTTCCCATTGCTAGCACATGAGACTCACATCCCAGTATCAAGTAAGGAATCCTGATTTGAAAACCAGTGCTCTCTAAACTTTTTGCAACACTCCCACAGCATTTTCTGCCCCTCACGGCGAACTCAGCTGAGGCAGCAGCAGCAGTTCTCCCCATCTGTGTTCAGTTTCAAGAGGGACTGCATAAAGGCTACTGGGATGCACAGCTCAACTTTTCGGTTCTGTTTTCAGTTCTCTCTCTGCACTATATGTTTCAGAAATGTAATCATAAATCTTCCTCTGTTGCCAGCCCAAATAATTAAGGGCTAAATCATGCCATGAAATATGAGACCAAACAATGTTATGCTGTCTGGGAGCAAATCCAGAGGCAGAGCAGCTACATCTCTAGTGCTGTAAAGGCCAAAATGGTTATCCCTTACATTCTTTGCTCACAAATGCCCTCAGAATCAGCAGTGACAAATACCCTTGCTGGTATTCCCCTAGGGAAGCTTCAACAGCATCTAGTATTTAAATCACCTTTGGAGGCTCACTAACTTTCAGGCTCTCTTGTGTGACTGACTGACAGAATTTGTAGCGTAGTTGTGTCCCATAAACCATCATTGCAGAGACCTCAGTAGCTTCCTGAAGTGGTGGATAGCTCCACCTCTTGATTCAGTCCACAGTGGCAATACCAGCTTGAAACCTAAGGAAAGATCAGCAGAGTTATATCACCTTTACAATCAGTTTGAAACTTGGTTCTTACTTCTCTCTCTGCATGAGCACTGAGCCCCAATTTTCTCAGTCTATCAATATATATCCATTGTACAATAATCCTCATGTTCCTTCCTTTGATTTCCTTTTGTCCTATCCTCTCTACATGTCTCTGACTATTCTTACTTTATCTTTAAATGATAGAAGAAATATGCAGGCTTTTTCAAACAGCACATTTTTTTTCTTACGTGAGCCATAAAATTATGTACCTCTTTACAGCTGATCTACTTCCCTCATGAGGTAAGACACTCAGTGCATCTTGGAAAAAAGAAATAAAAGATGCGTCTAAAAATAGCTTTTGGGGAGTGAAGGTGGAGGTGAACAAATAGTTCTGTTATAAATGACAATTAGCCAAGCCAGCTGTGATTGTTGAGACTATCTCATTTTGTATCATTTGCTTCTGAACATACATATTGTATACACATATATGCACATATGCATATGTGCATATATATGAAATGGTTGTCTTTTTTTTTTTTTTCCAGTTCTTTCTGCTTCTAGATTGAGGAAAAAGTTAAAATCTGAAATTTCTTACCTTTAGATAGAGGTTTAGCCAACTTTACAAATTCTTGTAATGTTATTCCAAGTATCACAACTGATAATGCTTTCTCTTCAAGGCCCAAATACTAACAGCGAGAAATTGCAGAGGAACATCCATTTTCAATTTTGAGTACATCTTGAGCTCTTCTGATCTCATAGAAAAGTTTGAAGCTGGCTCAGAAATGTAGCCTAAAGAAAAAAATAAAGTAAATAAAAAAAAAAATCAAGACTTAAAATCATATGACTTTTAAACAAGTCTGATGTTTTTCCAACTATATGAATTTTGAAGACAGGATTTGCAATACCGTGCATCATAGCTCTAAGCCAGTTGAAGAAAATATCCCTATCAGGTGTACTACTAAAAATGCACCAAAGTGCTGTCCTGACTATGAATTACCTTAATCTTTTATGTTCAAGTAACTGTCCTAATTCAAGTCTTTTCTATGTTTACAATCTGAGCAAGACCCAGAAAGATGTTAGGTACTTTGCAAAATTAGACTCAGCTGTATAGACAGAATTCATGTCAGTGCTGACATTTTTTCTAACAACTTTAAACCTAAAACAAAATTTTTACTCCTAAATTAGAAATTTACGAAAATTCAGCTAATAGTGATAAAGTTGCAGCAAGATCTTTCTCTTAATAATCTTGCATTGCTCTTTCTAGCAATTTCACTGTGATATTAATTCCCTTGACTTCAGAAGCAACAGCACAGTAGACAGATCTGAATTATGTCAGTGAGCGTATTTTGCAAGCCATCTATAAATGCTTCACTGGTAGAAAATGGCACAATTTTAAACTACCTTCCCAAATTACTGCAAAGTGCAGCTTTCATATTGAAATAATAAATGTATTCTTAGTCTCCACAGGCCAGACAAACTGAAAGAAGTCTTTGCTATAGGTTGTCAGAGAAGCTCACTGAATCTGCGCTGGGTCAGGGTTACTAGGACTTCCAAGCAGCACACAGTCTCTGCATGCGGAAGCAATCTGTTCAATACTCCAGAAAAGCTGCCAACCTACTGCTGCTGCACTCAGCTTCCTCTGCTCAGGGGCTCTTCTCTGCAAGGCTTTAGAGGCATTAAGAATTCAGTTGGGCCATTTCCCTGATTCTTCTTTTAGGGTACCTAAATAGGCACCCTAAAAGAAGGTGCAGCAAAATGTATGGAATACATGTTCTACAAACTGCCTTGCAGTGCTCTGGTCCTCCTCTGGATGTGGACTCATAGCAGGTCCTCAAGCTCCCAGTGGAGATGAAGTCTATTTTATGTGTGGGCTCTGAGAACTGATAAGCCAAGCTTTAGGGATAACACCTTATCCCCTTATCAATTACTCTTCCCTTACACAGCTCATCCTCCTGGTTGCAGTTTCCCTTTGTAGACAGTAGTATTTGTCATTTGTTTCAGCAATGATAATGGAAACTAAAGGAGACATACAGTGAGATAAATGCCAATAGCAGAGGTTCTCTGGATTTACACAGATCTATCCCAGACTTGCACCTAATCCCCTCCCAAGAAATTTTTATGAATGTGTGCCTTTGGAATGGGCTCAGACTGACATTTACAGCTACAAGCAGTGAGAGAGGTGAGATACATTTATTTATTTTATATTTGTGCTTGTCCTTCCAGCCTTTGGGATATACTATATTTGTTGGAGGATGGGCTTGCCCTTCTGGACTCAGCAAGGGCATTTTTTATCCTTTTCAGAATCAGGGATATTTGGCAGTACTTTTTATCTCTTTGTCATATGGAGGTGATCAAAATCTATAAAAAAGGAGACAAAACCAATTCCTCCAGACTGGGCAACATATCAGAACCGCTTATTGCACTTTATTGTGTCTGAGAAGAATGCTTCAAATCATAATCAAAATGACTCTCAGAAGAATGAAAATAGCTTGCTTCATCTTTACACAGGAAAAATAAAAACAAGTAAATGATAAGTGTTAAGCATAACACTGTAATTGCCTGTCTAGTAGCCTATATTCAGGCTGAACTCCCACTGTCTTAGCTTCATTTGTCACGCAATTTATTTAACGGGTCCATCATCACAGAAATGCTTTAGATACCAGGAAAGACAAGTCAAGAGATAGTGGTGGCCTTTTAAAAAGATTGTACAAAAACATGGTGAAACCCTAAAAGAAATGAGTAATTTCAAGCAAAATCAAGAATGGTATTTGCCTGACACTATAATGAATTATAAGTAAAATGGAATGCAAACAACATAAATTAATCCAGACTTCCTGAGCATAGAGCTCAGAGAATTCATTAAATGCATAAATATACTGTATTCTGTGTACTTGGATCAAAAAGTATGAAAAGTATACTGTAGCTGGAAATTAATAGAGTAGCTGCTTGAATAGTAATACCTTTTATTTTATTATTCCTTTTTTGAATAGGTAGTTTTTTTCAAGTCACCATTTAAGTCAACACTTTTCTAACACTTCAGAGCTATGAAACAATCTTTGAAACACTGATGTTGCTTATTTCTTGGGCTGGTCCTAAAGTAGCACCTCTGATATTGTAGTAAATTTTGGAACACATGAAGAGCCTCCTAAGGCTATATCCCCAAGGAAATTGAAGTTCTAGGAGATCTTCCATTGATTTAAAGGGGGAATACATAAAAATATTAACAACATTGATATTGAGGAAATAATAGAAATAATCCTGCAGAAGTATTACTGCTTACTTAGTGTAATTTAGTACCGCACCTATATAGGGTTATGTTTTCTCTTGAGCTATACTAATTACTAGTTATTGATTACTTATGTTCACCTTGTTATTGCAGGTCTGTGACAGTAGGGACAACAAATTAAAGAGTCCCTGAACACTTTTCAGAGAACCATTGCGTCCAGACAAGAGATGTTAAGCTACTGTAAGGAGCATCATTTCAGGGCCTCACAATGCATTTTTATAAACATAGGTATGCTTATATATGCACTTCATGCAGAGAACAAAATATTTCTCTTTTACAGGAAAACTCAAATTTTGTGAGGTCAAAATGCTGTTAGATAACTCTACCCCTCAGCAAATGCATGTTGTTCTGGAAATGGTTCCAAAGCAAAATCCTGTATCCAGAAAGAAATCAGCCCTTGCCTTGGCCAGAAGAACAAAAAGCCATTCCCTGGACTGCTGAGCAGGGGGTGGTCAATTGTTCCAACCCAAAAGAGTGAATATGAGAAAAGGAAGGGCTATAGGCTGGTTGACTTGCAAGAAATATGTGCCCAGCCTATGGTATGTGACACTGAAGAGCTGCCTCTGGAAAGGATTATGATCTTTAAATTGTCATCCCATTTAGTAATCCTAATGGTGACCACTATCATTTTCATTTTAGGCATACTGCATTGAGCCACAAATCTAAAGGTTTGATTGTCCCTCTGTGAAGAGTGAATGATCCATCTGCCTTTAGCAGTCTGCAATACAGGAAAAACTCTGTTATATGCTTGCAGTTATTCTTCATGGCAAAGAATCTGTATTTAGGGATTCAGATGTATAGTTCTTCCAAATGCATGTTAGAGTAATTTGAGAGGTTATCATCCGCAGCTGCCTGTCTTTTCTCTCTGCCAGAGGTTATTGCCTCTACAGCAGAGAAAATTGAAAGGCTGGCACATTATGTGCACTGCTCATCGCCTGGCACATTGATTTCAGCTTACATAATCAGTGGGCTGGGCTATGAGTGTAGGTGGCAGTAAGCTTTAATTCATCATCCCTACTGGGATGATGAATCCCTACTGGCAGCAGTAAAGTACTTATCAGCTTCTACAGGTGATAGCCAAATCCCACAGGTATTGAGGGCAAAGCCCTAAATGCCCACCATGCAGGGTGCTGAGCATTGCTACAAAGCACCATTTCCCACATTGCATGTCACACGGTTTGTAAGGGGGCAGGAGGAAGAAGTGCTGGCTTCTAGTGTAGCTGCATCAGATAACCCTGGGGATCAGGAGAGCGCTAGGCACATCCAGGTCTAGTTGGCCCAGGAGAAGTAAGGCCGAGAAACTTTGCAGTTAGGAGTTCAGGCAGCCAAAGTGCTAGAAGTAGCCATTGGAGAAAAAGCCTGGAGAAGGACTTGGAAAACTTAATAATAAGCTCTGTGAAGCCAATCTTTTAAACAGTACTTGAATAGCAACCCCACTGGGCACCTAGAAGGAAATCCCAGGAGGCATCAAGTCAACCAAGTATCAGAAAGTGAGGTGATGGGCAAGTCCTAAATGGTATCCCTCCCAAGGCAGCTGTTTTCCCAGACTTGCCGTGGAGCCTGAGAGCATCTCAGTCTGGCACGTGTTGTTCAAGTATTCACTTGAGTAATGAGAAATGCAGCTCCAACACCTGTTCTAGTCCTACAGGGGAAGGGACTGAACAGTTGCCTCCTAAAGGGACTAGTTTACCTCAGCAAAGTGCTATTGTGGAAATTGCACATCACTTCTCTTTTGTCTGAATAACGTGCAGTCTGAGAATGACTAATCTAACAGACTTTGGGGGGATCTAGTGTGTGAATACATCTGAAGCTGCTTGGCATAGCCAGGGTTCTGTGAATGCCAAACAGCGAGAGACACTGAGGGACCATTTATGGATGCAAATCAGCAGAATTTAAGCACCTCGGGGATGAGGAAGCAATTAGTCAGAACGTCTGAAATTTCTAATAGTAATTTAATTCTGCAAGCAGACATCTTGATTCACAAGTAGGCTTTAGGTTCCTTGGTGGATTTGGCCTTTTTGATCTGAAGATATTTCAAAATGTATCTGTGAATCATTAGGAGTTAGGGGCCTTGATGTCTTCTGTGCTCATTTCCTTGTAAAAGAATCTAAATACCTTTCAGTGTCTGGGTCATGAGGAATTCTGTGAAGCACACTGGAGTGTGAGGCTTTTCCACAGACAGAAGTGACCTTGCTTGAGCAAAGATGTTTCAGCACAAAGCAACATAAAATTTGTACGGTGTTTAGTAACATCAGAAAGACCCTCTAATCTGGGCATTCCTGCATAGAAAAAAAATATATATATTGAAGACACCCAGGCATTGTTAATTATATTCAACCCATTAAGCACAAGCATCATACAGAGCAAAATCATTTAGGATTGACAGGTTTTCATATTGCTACCCTTAGGCTTACCCCATGTTTAGAGCAACTCCCATTGATTTCTGTTGACATTAATGACCCATTAACAGCGGCTGGCAGGCTGCTCTTGCCTACACCCATCCTCACCCCCTGCTCACTAAGCTCTCTTCTCTGCACGTTGCTGCTAAAGCAGTGGCCAAAGAGTGGGGCAGCAGCAACTGCAGTAGAACCAGACCTTCCTAGCATAAGTGAACATCACTGCCATGGCTTTATCTTCAGAGATCATGGTGATGGAAAGTTTTGTTTTCCAGGGTCAGACTTCACCACCTGGCAGCCCAGCCCAGCTACTTTCCCTTCCTCTATCCCAGAAGGTGCAGCAGACGGAGGAGGTCCTGGCTGCAGTGAAGCAATGGGATCCTTGAGTCTCGTAGGAGTGGAGGGTGGAGGTGTGAGGCTGAGTGGGACTGGGTGCTGGGAAGGGGTGACAGGTGTGCAGCTTCCAATTCTAGGGTGGAAATTAAGCAGGCAATGATCCTAGGAAAAGAGGCATGGTGAGACATGGGAGAAGGGTGGAGAGAGGAAAAAAAAAAAAAAAAGTGAATAAGACCTGCTTGCCCTGCCAGACTTCCACAGCTCCCTTAAACCTTTCATTCATCCTGCTCAGAGCCCTTCAGACTTCACTGACCCCCAGTTCCTCCAGGAGGATGAAGTTTCCCCTGACCTCTTCCAATCCCACCCACATACCTGTGAGACCATTAGTGATCTCCATCCTAGCCCCTCTGCTCAGTCTTCTCCAAAGCCCGTCAGTCCTCATGTAGCACCTGGATGGCCTTTCCTCACCACCCAGTGGCCTTTCCTACCCCAGGAGCCTGGGCTAGTCACTCTTAATTACATTGCCAGGAACCCCCACGTGAGCTTGACTGGCTGCACTAACCTTGCTCCTGGTGGGGAGTCTTTTCTCACCCAGCACAGCCCTTTGAAGTCAGCAGGGCTGTTTTTGTGTGGAAGTGCTCACCGCTGAGATGAAGGAGTGCATAATCAAATCCAAAGTATTCTGCTCTGGCACTGTCATCCGCCACACTTCTCCCAGAGCCCAGTCAATACACATTTATGGGTCTGCATCTAGGTGCTCTGCATAACTGGTGAAGATAATTATTCCAGTCTTTCAGTCTTTTTCACCACTACCACTCTCTGTCCCTGTTCTCCTATAGTGAGGAATCCCATAATGAAGACATACTGTAAAGTTTACATGAGACAGTGTTTCTTCTGTATCTTGGTTTTCCAATACTATCTTCTATCTGATACCAGGCTTCAAAGTTGAAAAGTAATGTTATATTCAATGATCAGTGACCATGGGGTTGACAATATCCTTGTAATATGTGATAGTTTTTTGAAATAAACTATTCACTTTTGATGAATGTTGTTGTTTTGATGAATGTTGTTGAATTTTTAATCCCTGATTAACAAACGACCCATATACATGTATATTTTAGGTAGGGATACATTTGATTTTTAATACATATCTTATATTTTAATACATATCAATGTTAACTATGCTTCAAATAATTTTAGCTGCATGGAACAGATGATAGCTGATTCTTTCTTTCCATTCTTCAGTTCCTCCTCACCTAAGTCTGATCATTTTGAGGCAATGGAATAAGTTGCTGGCTAGAAAGAAAGTTTGGTATGGGATCTGAGACTGTGATACCAAAGTAAAGATAACTACACAGAGCACAATGCGTGTAAATGAGACAGAATAAATAACAAGAGAACAAGTTACTGAAAATGGAATTAAAAGAGAGAAAAGAAATAGAGAAAATATAGACATAAAGTAAAGAGCAGAATATAGAACTTTGTTACTGCTTACTATTGTAATGGCCTTGCTAGAAATGCATAAACTAATCCAATTCATAAACTTTAAATCCCCTGCTCCAGATGAAAAATAGTAATGATGTAAAATTCATGGTATTTGTGACTGGTCTTTATTGACAAAGAGTAAACACCCATGGCTCTTAATAGAGCTTCAGCTACTGATATAACATTTCCACTAGAGGCTAATGCTAGAACTTCAGACTGCACAGGAAATATGTCACAGGAGCTTAAGAATCTCTTAACATAAAGTGATTATTATATATCCTAGTCTTATTGCTCTCCCAGCTATTCATATTCAAGCTTTGAAATGTCTGCATTTATTCCAGCTCTACCATCCTTTCTGCTCTTCTTAAGTTGCACAGAAGTTGTTCAGGAAATCAGCACCAGTGTCTTTGTGACTGATATGTAAATCAAAAACAAGTGGGAAAAATATAACAAGCCTTTAGGGAAATGGAGGGGCTCTTTATGGCACTTGCTTGATGCTCTAGCTCCTCTTAGAGTAGCTATTTCTAAGCTATCAATTAGACAGGGATGAGTAAGTGAGATTATTAACATTAGAGCCATTCAGTTCAGGACTGTTATTTCAGCTCTCATTTAGGCAGGTAGTTCCTGAAACCTGTTAGCAGCGCAACAAAGCTCTCTGCTGTTCTCAGTCCATTTCTAGCAAATTAGGGCTGAGAGAACACTGATAGCGTGAACTGTCTCGTCAAAGAGACCTCTTATGAAGATTCAAGACCTTGATGTTTCTAGATGCCAGTTAAATAGCTCCAAAAGGTATCTTTGGGCATTGTAAGATCTGTTTGTAGGTGAACATTAGCAAAAACTCTAAAGCAAGGAAATTCTTACTTGTTATTTATGCTCACCTACAGACACAGTTTTCTCAGGTGCTGAAATTAATTTGTTCTGTTTTGCTCACAGTGTAAGAGTGGCATAAGTTTTGTTGGAGAAATAATGAAGTAAAAAATAAAAATCAACAACAATTACACTAATGAACAGTTATACAAAATCCATTCATTAAGAGGCAGGAAATGAAAGGGATTATAAATCTGCAAGATTTTTGAATGTGGGAAAGGTAACACAGTGGTTAGATCTGCTACTAGCTCAGAAACAATTGCATATGTGATATGTGAGAGGAAAATTAGAGAAACAAAGTTTTCTTCCCAATTTTCTATCTACAGCAGAAAAAAACCAACAACAACAAAAAAAAAAAACATTTGCTTAAATTATACTAGTACCTTTAACATTTCATTTCTAAAGAATTAGCAAAAAATAGGGTTGACAGATTTCCCATCCAGCCACTAGTCATTGCAGTCACAGATTGATATATAGTTATTTAAAACCAGAACACAGATTATTACAGAACAAAAAACACAGAGGCAAGGTGAAAATTGAAAATGCCTTGGTTTGCAGTTATCTTATTTTTGTCATACTGTCCTTTTTCCTTCTTCAGTCAAAAGAAAGAAAAATGCAAAACCAAACCCAATCTAACCCAGAACTGGAAAAAGAAAAGGTATTTAAATTTGCTATGAGTTAAAGGCCTGACTAAAATTTGTAAGAAAAAATAATTAAAACTGAATCTATTAAGATGGATTACTTGACTGACAACAACAAAAGGTCTCTTTCAGGTACTCATTAACCTCAGCAATATCAAGGCACAATGCAGATAAAGCACTTGTTTACTGCAGTACAGCAACAAAAATTAAAAGTAGGGAAATGCAGAAATTTGAAACTGAGTGTTTTTTTTTTCTCATATTTTCCTGCTTTTGCAATATAGTTTCCAATTATTGAGGGTCAAACTGACTTTCATGTGATCATAGATTCACTATTTCCTTAGTTCTTAAATCAATAATTATAACACTTCCCCATGTATTTTCATATCATGCTTATTACATTCATGAAAAGTATCTGAAAGTAATAATATGACAGCAGTATCTTTGTGTTGAGATTACATTTCTTACCAGCTTTGAAGTCGGTTCCTGTCTGAAGTCCCGTGCCCAGTTGTGATAGATCATTAAAAAGAAAATGATCTTGACATTTTATTTTAATAGCCCGATTTTGCTTTGGCCAAACATGAAGCACTGACCTTCTAGGGTATGAACTTTCCCCACTAGTGTATGTTTTGGGAACAGAACACTGGGCTGAAGAGGGAATCAAGAAGGAAAAAACAGTTCAATCAATACCAGACTAATAGCTCCTTACCAAATGAATTACTTTCCAAGATGGAGGGAGGGAAGAAAAATCTTGCCCTATTCTATATCCTGATATTTGTAAACATAAAAATTATTTACAGCATAATCTTGGCCTTTCCTGTTCAGGCTATAAACTTAAGATTCTTATCTTCAGGACAGTCACCCTTTATAAAGCCAGTAATGCATTAATGCATTACCCTGAGCTATGTAAAAGTAGAAAATACATTTATATTAATAGAAGAACAATCTGCACATGTGATTTTAGTGAAATGTATTTCATTTATATATATATATATATATATATATATATATATATATATATTTGCATGCCAATTCCTTATAGCTCAGAATTCATATTAATGTGTCTTCTCCTATGGGACCAAGTGGAAATAAGGCAGATGAGGGAGACAAGGGTGATGCACTGAGTAAGAAGTTTGCTTCAAAGACAGATTGAAGGAACTAGCATCTTCTCTGGAGGAAGAGAAATGAAGATGGGCAATTGTCTAGGTGCCATCATCTCTACCACATGAGGCTATCATAATGTGAGTCACTAGAGAAGTTGGATGTACCCCAGGAGAGGGACCTGTATGTGTCTGGTCTACCTATCCATCTAGTATTGACCACTGTCAAAGACAAGTAATTTGACTAGGTGGATACAACCAAAGAAAAGAGCTTCATGTCTTCTTATGTAAGATAGAGTAGAATTTACCCTTGCACACTGTGCCTGTATATTTATAAACTTATTTCCAATCCACAGCTTAGGAACTTTTTCCAAATATATTGGCTATTGAAAGAGGGAATGACATAGTGGGAAGGCTGAGAGAACTGAGAAGGGATTCTTATCAGCACTGCTGCCAGTAAGAGGAAAACAACAAGCTTAAAACAACAAGCTTACCGACCAAAGGCTTGTGATTTGTGTTTATACACCTGAGATTTGGAGTCAAAGTACAGGCTGTTGCCCATAGTTTTATAAGGCTTCTATTGCTAGAGGGTTAGATAATTCATTTTTCTATCAGGGTATTTGAGCTAGTCATCTGAAACCTTTTCTTTTTTATTTTTTTTATTTTTTTAAACAAATGATCATATTTGATAATATCTGTATTGATTTTAGTAGCATAACCAGTATTCTAAATTCATTGCAATTAATGAAATGAAGAATATCTTTCTCTTTTTTTTTTTTTCTTTTTTTTTTTAATGTCAACAATATGTGTGGGGAAGTGCGATGCCAAAGAGTTCAGAATTTTGGAAAATCTCTGTAGTTCCCCCTGGAAGTATAGGTTTCCATGAAAGCAATCTGAAAGCTGGAAGCAATTTGCTCTGGAATTTCACAATATATTTTTTGATTGAAAAGTAATAATATGTGCTAGGAAATGACTGG